TTTTACATAATACTGTCGTGACGGTTACTAATTCTAATGGGTGTCCGGCATAAGAAGAGTTATCAGAGCAGGCTCGCCCGACAAGAAAAGGGGCTCAACGGTGTGTGAACTGTCTAGTGAGCTCATACTCGCACGTATAGGCTGTGTGTAGAGTATATGGTACACATCCAAGCTGCCCATTAAGATAGTGTCATAGGAAAAAAGACTGATATGATAGGTCCGTCATTGCATTCACATGTTCTTGCATTTAACCCCCGACAGTGGGGTCACTTACTGAGTATTTTTTAAAATACTCAAGCCACGTGGTACCTCTATTTCAGGTTAAGGAAAGACATTCCTATACGGCTGACGACGACATCACAACTCAAGACCATGACACATGCATAGTGTAGTCGTATTTATTTTATTAGACTTAGACTAGAATATGATGTTTTTAATTTAAAACGTTTATTTATTTTATTTACTCTTTTGTTGTGTCGTTTTTAAAGGTGTTTTCAAAACACTTAAGTTGATGGTTGTGTTGTAAGATGAATGTGACATTTTATGAAAGTTTAAATGCAATATTCCTACATTCAATGTTTATGATATCTATACAGTAGCGACCTAAAATTAAGTAGAAAATTTCAAATCGTTACATATTGTCATTGAAGGAAGATTTGAGATGAAAAACGATCGATGAAAATTCTGGTAAAGGAGGAAGAAACATTACGCAATAGACACATTCCTCTCGTCATAATTTTGTAGAGGAATCAACTGGTAGAGAGAGTCACATGAAAATGAGGAGAGGATGAATGGATAACATTTTAGGGCCAAAATTTAGAGGGTGAGAAGTGTAATATCCTAAACTATTTAATATATAATATTATATATATATATATATATATATATATATATATAATACATACATAATACATACGTATGTCGATACATGTATATATATCGATACATACATGTATATATATCGATATTACATACATGTTTGTACGTGTATATATATAAAAAATAAACAAAATCAAAAGATTTTAAGGAAGAGAATGGTCAACTTTTTATTTTTAAAAATTATCATAAGATTTTGTAAAAAAAGTTTACATTTTTATATTTTCAATATATTTAAATTCTAAATTTTAAAATTTTAAAATATAGGATATAAAAAATGTTCGATATAAATTTAATTTATTTTATATATTACACATTATAATTAATTATATACATGGACTTGAGTAATATTAATTTCTTATTTAAAATAAACTAATTATTTAACCCTAACTTCATCAATACTATGTCACTAGAAATTGAAGCGTCATGTTTCAAACTTCAGCAACTTTACCTAACTTCATCATATGTTGAACCCATCAAACTCACGTTAATGGTCCAAGTCATTTGCAGTCACTTCCTAAGAAAATGGTAGTTTATCATTGTCGAGGCAACATGAATCCTGGAAGTTTCTCTTCCTAACTTGTCAATTTTCTCTCAAAAACTTTGACGATGACGACAATGCAACCTTGCTACAGTTCTTATCATCCAAGTTCAGAAGATACAATAACCCCATTCTTGATGCTAAGATTATCACAAACAAGATAATAAACCACTTAAGAAGAATAAAAAAACTGCAGATTTAGGTAGATTTGGAAACGTTTTTCATCTGACAGTTACATTGAAATTATGGAATGTTACAACCTGTCATGTGAGATCTCTCATACGTGAAGACCCGATGATTCCTACGAGTAAAATTACTATCGAAATGTTAAATAGAGTAACTATCGAAAAGATAGGAAGGGATGAAAGTTGTGTAATTTGCAAGGAAAATATTCTAAAAGAGGAAAGAAGTGAAATATTATTATTGGAGATGCTTGCTTGCATGTTTTTCATGAAGAATGGTTAAGAAGTTGGCTAAACAAAAGTCATTATTGTCCCATGGGTAGATTTGAGATGCCTGCAAATGTGTTGTTTTTTTTCTCATGGTTATTGTGTTTAATATGGAAAATAGTGTGTTGATGCCCTTGCTTCAGACTAATAAACGAAGTATAGTTTTGAGTTAGCTTTAGTCGACAAATATGATCAAGAAAAACGCTCCAAATCTCTCGAAGTAGGTGGTAGAGAAAGAAGACAGTAGAAAACATCTATGGAAGCCTCGGGATCGTGAGAAGGATAAGCTTGACTTATACATAATTTAGAGCATTTGGTGACCATTTTTTAAGCTTCAAATACAAACATGCATATAGCAGAGTGAAACCAAAGTTGTTTCGAAAGTCAAAGATGTGAGTTAATAAGCTTAACTTATAGATTGCACCATTGACGGTTATTAATCTTGGAGCATTTCTAGGAGAAGAATGGTTAGTGTTTCTGTCTTTTAAATAGTCATTAGTCATGTTTTATTAAGAAACTAGTATCTCAGTTACGGAGAAACCCTCTTCTCAAATTATTGTGTTATTTATTTCATTTTTTTTTTCTTTCTATTTCCATTATTAGTTTGGGTGTGTTTTAATCGAGTCAAGATTGAGTGAACTTATTGCTAGTTTGAATTAGTGAACATATTCGTAATCAGTTAATACTTGGAGAATATATTAGTTATAGAATATATCTTAAATATTAGTAGTCGTTAATTTTTTTTTGGGATTAGCAATATATTTTATTTTATTCTAATATTTAGTTAGTTTATATTTTCATTATTTTGAGGTATTAGTTGGTATTTGTATCCTGTTTAAATGTATGTTGTGAATATCATTGAACCTTCTATCCCAATTCTATTTTTCATTCTAACTCTGAATTGTTTATAATATTTTCAGATCTATTCACACTTTTGAGAGGTAAATATTCTGTCAAATCTAAAGTCAAAATCAATCAAATATGTTAGGATTTTAGTATAACATCAATTCTTACCGAGGGCGAGTATAGGCGGTCAACTATCTCTTTTAGAAACTTATAAATGTTATTGGATTAGAAATTCAACTCTATATATATATATGTTTATTTATTTATTTATTTATTTGGTGCCGTGGGACAGACCATCTGAATTTTATATAAATAAAGAATACTTTTAATCATTATTATATTAGTTAATTTTAAATAATTAATGGTGGGTAGTTAATTTATTTTTTATTAATTCAAATTATCAAATTTAAGGTTTTTGAGTTTATTTAACTAATTTTAAAATCTATTCTCAAATAAATATATTTAATAAAATTATATAAAATTTTGATGGTAAATAATTAATATAATAATAAAATTATCACAAAAGACTCAAGATTCATTCTTTAACTGATCTTACCATAGCCTTAACGTTCTTATACCTATCACAGACATATCATTACGTGACGTACCTTAGTCATATCGTCACAAGAACGTACCCTAACGCTATCGTTCTATCAATCTATCACAAACCTATCCCTTTCTACCCATAACCTAACCGTATTCTTTCATTAATCTCTCCTATCCATAGCACTCCGGTATGTAACCTAACTCTAACGTTTCATGAACGTATCTTACTCCTATCGTTACATTTCGTTTTGTGCATCCTTCTTGTATCCTATGTCAAACATATCCTTGAGCACATCGTACCATAATTGTTGTCATACAAACCACATATTATAACATAACATAACATATAGGAAGCATATCGATCCACAGAAAATTCACACATATCAATATATATGACACGTACAGAACCACAGGGCACGTGTCAACATCAAATATAACCATGCCGATAGTAAGGTCACTTACCTGGCTAGCTTAAGTCGTTGTCACAAATATATCTTTAATGAAAGTTCGATTCCGTCCTTTGAAATCCGAGTCAACATATATGAGTTCATGACATCAGTTTCAAGTTTGAACTCTATAAAATTATTTCTCTAATTTAGATTGGCCATCGTAAAGTTCTGATATTTCGTGTCAAGACAAAATTTAAAGGAGTGCACTCTGATATTTCCTGTTTTACTGTTAAATCCTGTTCAACAATTTTTTCCTCAATCTTCCTTCCTCTTCTGTAATTATTTTTAAGAAGGTATTATTCAATTTTGTTAATCTATTCCTACCTCCAAATCTTCCCTTTTTATTTTTATTATTATTTTTCTTTTCAGTTAACAGTGTTCTGTATTTCTATCTCTATCTCATTTTTTCTTATTTACTTTGTCTTCTTCTTCTGATTTAGTTAACAACTATATTCTTAGCTTTTAATTTAATCATTGATTTGGCTATATTCTTTTCCTATAATTCATATAAAATTACAACCTAAATCATTCCAACAATTCAGTAGATCTAAATCATTGCAACAATTTAGTAGAACTAAATATAATTGTTTTTTATTTCCTAAACTCATACAGAATTCTTTTCATTTAATCTCTAATTTAAAACTAAATAATGGTAACTAAATTAATATTATTTAATAAAATAAAAGGAAGATTTAACATACTGACCTCTTCAAATCACATATCTCCTCGAGCGGAGCTAGTCTGCTTAAACCTTTTGTTTTCTTTTTCTATTTGTTTTTGTAGGAAGAAGAATTCTGCCTAAATCTGCAGTTGTTTTTAAAGAAAAGAGATTCATGATTTGTTGCCATATTTATTCTTAGGGAAGGAGTGGTGAGAGATTGAAAGAAGGAGGGGAGATCCGATACCAAATGTTTTTCTTCTTTTAATTTTTATTTATTTATTTATTATTTTATTATTTTAACTATTTTTTTTTATAATTATTTTTATTTGTTTATTTCTTTATTTATTTTTGGGTATTACAACATGAATCCCCAAAGTTTTTTTTTCCTAACTTATCAATTTCCTCTAAAAGAACTTAGACGATGACAATATGTAATCTTGCTACAATTCTTATCATCCAAGTTTAGAAGATACGATTACCCCATTCTTGATGCTAAAATTATCACAGACCAGATAAGAAACAGGTGGAGAACAATAAAATAAACTGCATATTTGGATGGGGTTGGAAACATTTTTCCTCGAACAATTACACTGAAATTATGGAATGTTGCAACCTATCAGGTGAGCTCGTTCATGGTTGATAGTGAAGACCCAATGGTTCCTACGAGCAAATCACAAAATCGTGAGTTTGTTGATGTTAAAATGTTGGAAGGTTTCAAATATTTGGATGGTTGTGTTTGTATTTTCATACTAATATAATGCAAAAGAATATAATATTTTCCAGTTACCAAGAGTGTCGTCGTACATAAAACAAGTTTTCCGATCGAGTTGATAGAAAGACCACTTACTTGATTAGCTTAAGTTGTTGTCATGAGGTGGCGGAGAGGGGAAGAGAAACGACGCCGGAGGTGGAGATTTAAAGAAGCTTTGCGTAGGAGGTGGCGGAGAAGGGAAGAGAAATGCTGCCGGGGGTAGAGATTTAAAGAAACTTCGCATAGGTGGTGGCGGAGAGGTGAAGAGGAACGCCACTGGAGGGGGCGGAGAAGTGAAGAGGAAGACAGATAGAGATCTATGGGAATGCTTCAAGTCCGGCGATGAGTCAGCAATGGCAAGAAATGGATGAGAGAAAAGTGGAAAAATGAATAGCAGAGACAACCCTAAAAGATTCTTTTTTTTTTTTTTTTTTTTTTTTTTTTCCTATATGTTTGGTGATTATGAAGATCCACGGCCGATCTCAAAAAATTTATAGGAATAATGCACATTTTCAAGTAGTGAATACTAAATTTGTCTTTTAACAAAATAGTAATAAAAAAACAAAAAAATTGAAATTAAAAAAATACTCTAAAGTTTCAATAATACAATTAAACTTCCCATAGAGTTAAAAATTGCAGTTAAATTTTTTTAAAAAATTAAAAAATAGTATTATAATTAGTTAGGGATAGAAATAGTTAATATTTTGTTTTTAAAAAAGTACCTTTAAATTTTCATAAAAGTTTCATACATACATTTAACTTTTACAAATTTCAATATAATTTAGTAATGGGGAGAGATATTTGGGGAAGGAATGGTAAGGAATGGTAAGGATGGAGAGTTTGATGAAGTTTCACCGTAACTAATTTTGAGTTAAATGAAAATATTTTCATTTTAGAATTAAAATTAAAATTAGATGAATTTCTAAAATAAAAGAGATTGAAATAGTTAGATATTTCTTTTATAGAGCATAATTAGTTTCTATAAATCATTTGTTACCAATAAATTAGGAAAACTCAACCAAGAAATATCATTTATTACTGTAGTTCTAAATTAATTGTTCACCAGAGTTTATATAAAGGTGAGATTTAGAGGTAGAATATCTATGTGACGACAAAATGAGTTTGCATAAAAATGTCAATATGGTTTATGTTGATCTCTCCACTAATGTCTCATCCATTTTCCAAACTATCTCTCCCAACCATGTCACCTCTCCCCACACTTCTCTCCACAAGTCTTCCAATCTAGCCGATAGAAAGTCCACTTACCTGATTAATTTAAGTTGTTGTCATGAATTTATCCTTAATGAACGTTTGATTCTGTCTTTTGAAATCCAAGTTAATCTATGTGTGCTCATGACGTAAGTTTCAAGTTTGAACTTTCATGTAACAAGTTTACAAACAGAGTTAACCATTTTTCTAGAAGATATAAGCTACTTTTACATAAAAGAATTTGATGAATTTATTTTTAGATACGAGCTACTGTTACATAAAAGAATTTGATGAATTTATTTTATGTTGAAGTATTATCTACTTCCTAGTCATCTTATATTTCAAAATTCCATTCTTTTTCCATGGTTTATCCTCTATAATTCTTATGTCTGAGAAGCAGGTTGTGTTTGGCAGTATACATAAAAAAAATTGTCAATTTTACTGTACTAATTTTTCTTTTAATTCTATTAACAATTATCTTTATCCAATTTTAATTGAGCAATCTTTCTTTTTTTCACCTCACTTTTAATTCTTTTGCAATTATCTTTGAACAATTTTAATCTTTTTTTTTTCTTCCATTTTTTCTCTTCTTTTAATGATCTTACCAATTATCTTTACCCAATTTTAATAGATTTTTTTTTATTTTTTTTTATTTTTTATTTTTACATGTTGTTGATCATGATTTTCTAAAATGATTGTAAAAATCTAAATAATTGAAATAGATTAAAAGAGATGGAAGATCTAATAAACTTTTTTCTCTCTTTCTTTATTTTTTCTTGTGGTGATCATTATGTTGTGAGAAGGTGTTGTAATAAAATAAAATAAACAAAATTTTGAACTTAAAATTCTCCTTTTAGTTTTTAATATTTAATTAAATCGAAATTGTACAAAATAATAATAATAATAATAATAATAAAAACTTTAAAATTGTTGTTATTTTAAAATTTTAATATTTTTTCATCGGAATATTATTTGAGAAGTTCTCTTATACGTTCAATAAATTATAAATAAGAATACTATTTTTGAAAATTTATGAATATTTGTTAAACGTGAAGTAAAGTTGTATTTATATAATGATAAACGTATTTTTAAAACAAAAGTAGTGATCATAAGATTTCCCTGTTACATTATTAAAGGGCTTATCGAGAACATCTCTCTCGCCAATCAACTTATCTTCTCTCACGTGGTTGATTTTCTATACTGTCTTTACATCACTCCATTGGCTGCAGTGGGGGTGACGGAGAGGGGAAGAGAAACGTTGCTGGGGGTGGTAGAGAGGGGAAGAGAAACGACGCCGGAGGTGGAGATTTAAAGAAGCTTTGCGTAGGAAGTGGCGGAGAGGGGAAGAGAAATGCCGCAGGGAGTGGAGATTTAAAGAAGCTTCGCGCAGGAGGTGGCGGAGAGGTGAAGAGGAACGCTGCTGGAAGGGGTAGAGAAGTGAAAAGGAAGGCAGATAGAGATCTACGGGAATGCTTCAGGTCCAGTGATGAGTCAGCAATGGCATGAAATGGATGAAAGAAAAGTGGAAAAATGAATAGCATAGAGAACCCTAAAAGATTCTTTTTGTTTTTTTTGTTTTTTTTTTTTTAATGTTTGGTGATTATGAAGATGGTATGAAGACCCCTAATCTCAAACAATTTATAAGAATAATGTACATTTTCAAATAGTAATACTAAATTTAAAAAAAACAAAGAAATTTAAATTAAAAAAAAAATCTAAAGTTTCAATAATACCATTAAACTTAAAAATGGTTAAAAAATTCTTATAATTAGTTAGGGATAGAAATTGTTAATATTTTATTTTAAAATAAATACCTTTAAATTTTCATAACAGTTTCATACCTACATTTAACTTTTACAAGTTTCATTATAATTTAGTTATAGGGAAAGATATTTGGGGAAGGAGTGGTAAGGATAGAAAATTGGATGAAGTTTCATTATAACTAGATTTTCAAATTAAATGGAAATATTTTCATTCTAGAATTAAAATTAAAATTAAATGAAATTTTTCTAAAATAAAATAGACTTAGATTTTTTTTCTTTTTTTTTTTTCAAAATCATTTGTTACCAATAAGTTGGAAAACTCTACAAAAAAAAAAAAATTATTACTAAATTTCTAAATTAATTGCTCACCAGAGTTTAGATAGAGGTAAGATTTAGAGGTAGAATATTAAGGGATAGAATATTTGTGTGAAGATAAAATGGGTTTGCTTAAAAATTCAATATGGTTTATGTCCTCTTGTTGATCTCTTTTGTTGCTATTTTGTCTCATCTCAATGGTCTCGAGGCAAGTGGAGTGACAATGTGCTTTCTTAGGACTTAAAAGGCATGTCCCAACTAGACTAAATCCAACAACATCTCTTTAAACGCCTCCATTGGGTCTAAGCACGAAGAGATGTGTGCCAACTGGCCCAAATCCAGCAACACCTCCTGAAACGCCTCCATTGGGTTTAGGCACTAAGAGACCTGGGCCAGTTGTCTAGGCAAGACCTGTGCCAACTGGCCCAAATCGAGCAACATCTCCTAAAATCCCTCCCTCAAGTTTAGGCACCAAGTGGCGTGTCAACTGGACCTAATCCAGTAACATCTCCTGAAAGCCCTCCCCCAAATTTAGGCACCAAGAGAAGTGTTCCCAGAGGACAACATCTCTTGAAAGCCCTCCCCCAAATTTAGGCACCAAGAGAAGTGTCCCAAAAGGACCAAATTCAACATCTCCCATAACACCTACATTGCCTCTAGGCACTACATCTCTTAGTATAGGCGTGTACCAAATGACCCAAAACCTGCAAAATCTCTTGAAAAGCCCTTCTCAAGTTTAGGAACCAAAAGGCGTGTACCAAATGGCCCAAAACCAACAACATCTTCTGAAAGTCCTCCCTCAAGTTTAGGCAACTAAGAGGCGTGTACCAAATGGCCCAAAACCTCCTGAAAGCTCTCCCTCAAGTTTAGGCACAGAGGCGTGTACCAAATGGCCCAAAACCAGCAACATCTCCTGAAAGCCCTCCCTCAAGTTTAGGCACCAAGAGGCGCTCTCCCTCAAGTTTAGGAACCAAGAGACGTGTCCCAACCGAACCAAATCCAGCATAATCTCCCGAAAACCCTCAATTGGGATTAGGCACGAAGATGCGCATTCGAAATGGCCCAAATCCAACAACATCTCCGCCATCCATTAAATTTATTATGATGCCTACTAATAGTAGCAAGCTTAATTAGGTTCTCTACAATGTATTACAATGAAGTCTCTAATTTTCTATCTTCTATCTACTGAGATGATTCAACTTTATGGTGAGGGACTCTAATAATGGGCGTGAAAGAGAATAATTTAGTCTTAAAAGTTTTTTATTCTAAAACTATGATAATAATATTTCTTTATCTTATTTTCAAAATCTTCATTACCCATGAACATATAATTTCAATTTCTACCTCATTGATTAACATTTATAATTTAACAACTATGGACATAAATATGAAACTTAATTGGTGAGACTTTAGCTTTTCTAAAAAAAAAAACTTTTGGTATGAACCAAGAGACATCAATCATACAATATACTTCAATGAAGATGGGAAGAAAATGTTGTCAAAATTATCAAAAGATGTTGCAATTCATGCCACATTGAAGAGGAATGAAGTTTGATGGTTATAAATTGAAGAGGAATGAAGTTTGATGGTTATAAATTTTTGGTGGGTTACAATTTAGAGTTATTGTATTTTATTATTGTATTTTAAGGTCATTAAGTATGAATGTTAGAACTCTTTGAATGTCTTTAGTAGTTTCATTTTGAGGCTATATAAAGCCATGTATGTTGTATTTGTAAGCAGACTTGGAAAATATAATAAAAGAAGCATTTGTGCTCTTCTTTGGCCAATGACTAAGTTATGCATGTAGAATCATTCAAGCTCGACATGATCAATCTTGCTTGTGGAGTGATTCGAATCTCAATCAAGTGTTCTTGCGTTGAGATATTTGATCAACAAGAATCATTCAAGCTAGACATGATCGATCTTGCTTGTGGAGTGATTCAAATCTCAAACAATGTTCTTACCTTGAGATATTCGATCAGGGTAATTCGAATCTTATCCCCTTGTAGTTGATTCCTTATCTCCCTTGTAGTTGATTCCTTATCTTATCAACTTTTATCCAAATAAAAAAAATTAATGGATAAAAAAGTTTGCATATTTTTAAATAGGACAGCACATACTATTTATGAGATATTCTTAGGTAATTTTAATTTTACTTTCATATATAACTAATGTAAAGCCCAAATAAATAAATGAAGAAAAAAAAAAAAAAAAAAACAGGTTAAAAAAAACCTCTCCTCACACTTCTCTCCACTCAAGTCTCATCTCTCTTCCAAACTATCTCACAACCAACTCATGGTCACCCTAATATATCAGGTTCTGCAAAAAAGAAACAGAAAAAACAAACAAAAATGTCAAGATTTGAGGAAGAAAGACATTTTATGATAGAAGCATATCTAAAGAAATGTCAGATTGTTAAGCTATATTAGATTTTTTTGTCAAGGTATATATTAGATTTTTTCTTTTATTTTAATTTTATTTTCAGAAATCACAGCAATTATAGCTTAGATCTTCCTTTAACTCCATTACAATAGATTGGCCAGAATACCAATCTATTAAAAAAAATGAAATATAGAGGTAAGAAATAGAAGAAAAAGAAAAGAAATACATAGATAAAGAAAGAGAAGAAGATTTCAAAACATTAACAAAAAAAAAATAAGGCAGAGTAAGATTTAGAAAATAGAATTGATTAATCAAACATGGTCGATTAAAAATATGGGAATAGAATTTCAAAAACAAAAATCTTTTATTTTAAATCTGTGTTTTTAGGAAATTTTATTTTAATTCTATTTTTAAGAAATCACATCATTATAGCTTAGGTAATTTTATTTTAGTTCTATTTTTTTTTTAAAATCCCCATAATTATAGTTTAGTTTTATTTGTTAAGTCTAGAAGATAAACAAAATGATTTGATCAATAAAAATATGGTAAGATTTAGAAAATGATTAACAAAAATATACAAATAAAAATATGGGAATAGAATTAAATATTTTATTTTATTTTATTTTAATTCTATTTTTAGAAATATTTATTTTAATTCTGTTTTTTAGGTAATATTTATTTTAATTCTATTTTTAAGAAATCAAACAATTATAGCTTAAATTTTTCCTAGAAATTATGGATGAGATTTTTTCTAATTTTATCTTGCTTAATTTCTTGCAACTATGTCAAACATATACCAAAAGATTTAGAATCCATTCACAAAAATAGGCCAATAAAAGTATGAAATTTTCTGTTCTTTTATTTTAATTCTGTTCTTGAAGAAATCACACCAATATCTTCCCCAATTCTGTTGTAATTCTATATCTTCCCTATTGCAATTATGTATCCTTCCAAATTCTATTGCAATTACTTAGATTAAGTTAGAAATTATCATATAGACATACATAGAAACATAATTAGAAACCGATTTTGAAAACAGAATTGATAAACAATAGGCCAATAAAAATATGGGAATAGAATTAAATTGGTAAAAAAAAAAAAAGATTTGCACGTAAAAGGAATTGATTAATAGAATTCATTAACAAAAATAGGAGAAAAAAATGTGGGAACAAAATTAGAGTAAACACAGAAAGATAAATACAAACAAAAAAAAGAAAGATTCAGTTATTTAAAAACTAAAACTAAACACAAAAACAAAAATAAATATAGAGAGAAAAAAGAAATGCAACATTAGAGAATAGAATTAAATAGAATTAAATGATACATATATGAAAAAAAAAACTTTCCGTAAATAAAATTAAATGATAAAACAAAATTGAATTACAAGAAAGTACCGTGCAAGTTAAAACATAGGCCAATAAAAGTATGAAATTTGCTGTTCTTTTATTTTAATTCTGTTCTTAAGAAATCACACCTATATCTTCCCCAATTCTGTTGTAATTCTTTATCTTCCCTATTGCAATTATGTATATTTCCAAATTCTGTTGCAATTACTTAGATTAAGATAGAAATTATCATATCCTAGACATACATAGAAACATAATTAGAAACCGATTTTGAAATAAACAATAGGCCAATAAAAATATGGGAATAGAATTAAATTGGTAAAAAAAAAAAAAAAATTTGCACATAAAAGGAATTGATTAATAGAATTCATTAACAAAAATAGGAGAAAAAAATGTGGGAACAAAATTAGAGTAAACACCGAAAGATAAATACAAAGAAAAAAAAGAAAGAAAGATTCAGTGATTTAAAAACTAAAACCAAACACAAACACAAAAATAAATATAAAGAGAAAAAAGAAATGCAACATCTAGAGGATAGAATTAAATAGAATTAAATGATACATATATGAAAAAAAAAAACTTTCCGTGAATAAAATTAAATGATAATACTGTTGGTGACAACAGAAAACTGAAGTGAGATTGAGAGGAGGAGTGATTTGAATGATGGGGAGGGAGGTCCTTTTATAGGGGGATTCTCGGA